AAGGGATGCTTTTTTAGGATTCATACAGAGTGTCCATGTGTTAAAATACAGTGGGTACCCATTAGTGAATTACTCTGCCACCATTTGCTGCTTAAATACTAAAAGGTGAAAGGCTAATGAAAATGACTGTTTACATCAGTAGGTTCTTAGCCAAATCCATGCAAGTGCTGATGTGGTATTCCCAATATAGCCAACAGGTGGTAGCAGTCCTTCTGCATGTTTGTTTGTTTTTTTTTAAAAAAAAAAGACCAGTATTCTTACATTATTTAAATCCTACAATCTCTTTCTCCCTTCAGCCATGCCATCTACCACTTGGTTTTCCACAAAATCTAAACAAATAAAATTGTCTGTTCTCCTGTGATCTGTCACTGGACTTAAATACAAATTTCATGGTAGAACAGGCTATTTTACATGACTCTTCTGAACAGAATTTAGCTTTTGGGGTTTATCACACAAGGCTTATAAAGCACAATTACAGTAGGATAATAGTGTCTTTGGCATGTACTTATCTTTCCTATTGCTGATTGCATTTCAGTCTTGGTGGAGAGCATGTTTTCAAGGATAACCTTTCCCCATCAATGAAAAAGTGTGTTCCACCAGTGACTGAAAAGCAAAGCAGCAACAGGGGACACCATGTGATAAGTACATGCCAAAGATGCTGTTATCCTACTGTAATTGTGCCTTACTAGCCTTGTGTGATAAACTCCTTTGTGTCTCTAATACTATTGCATTAATAATTACAATTTGTTCCAACCTCCTAAAAGAAGCACATTTGGTATTGTGCAAACAAATGGGTCCTATGACAGATCAAGCCTGAACTCACTCTGGAAGCCAAGATGATCAAACGTGGCTGTTGTACTTTGAGCACATAATGAGAATATATGACTCATTAGAAAAGACAATAATGCTAGGAAAGGTAGGAGGTAGTAGAAAGAGAGAAAGCCCCCATGCCAGATGGCTAGACTCAATCAGGGAGGCCATGGGCTTAAATCTGCAGAAGTTGAGCAGAAGGGTTGAGAATAGGGGTTCTTGCAGCTGTCTTGATCACAGGCTCACTATGAGTCGATGTTGACTTGAAGGCAGTTAACAATAACAACCAGCTCATAACTTATGTACATTCTATGACAACTAACACACTTCTCACTCGGATGAGTTATACTAAGACTTGTGTTCAGGATCAATAATAATAATAATAATAATAATAATAATAATAATAATAATTTATTTATATCCCGCCCCTCTGAGAACAATCAGGATCAAGTTCATAACATGAAGCATTTGCTATGAATAGAGTGAGCAATAGCCCCTGAAAGTGTGTTAGTACACACAGGAGAATTTGCACTTTCATTGAGGCAGCTCCAAGCTCAAGGGCAGGTTCTCTTCAATGCCATGGTTATTTCACATCCTGAAGCTTAAAAGGAGACTTCTTTAGACCATTCAGCAATTCCAAATGTATCAAGTTAATTAACTTTGAATTATAATCTCTATGTAGTCTTTGTGCTATATCATGCAAAGATAACAACATTACACTTAAAGGAAGCCTTAAATTATCTACACATTGATAATAATAGCAATCAAGGAAATTAATTGGCATTGCATTTTAAAGTAATTAGTAGATCATCCTATTTCGATTTATCTTTAATTAATTGCCTGTGGCAGGAGATGATCATTTGGCAACATCAGAGACTTTATTCACATTTTTAAAATTGTTAATACAAACTGATTGTTTTGTTATGTGCCTAAAATAGGAGGCAGCTTTTTTCTTATGAAACATTAATTATCTCATTATCATATAGATGCAGTTTAAGATGTCAAGAGTATTTTGAATGGAAAATTTGAGGAAGGTAGTGATGGATTGAACACTTCTAATACTTAGGTATTTTCCAAACAAACAAGGGTATGAAGCTTCACTGTAGTTCAGAGGGCAAAATGGACATCAGAATTTGAGACTGAAGATGTGGTTGCTCTATTGTGAAATGTTCTCCACATTTATGTAGGCATGGACCCAAATATTTTCTTGAACTACATTCATTGCATTAGTCATGTAGGTGAGGAAGATAGAATTTTTGAGGGCAGGAGTGAATCAAGTGCTGGAGATAATACCCCAAATGTTATACAGACAAGGTAAATAGCACAAGAACCCAACAGTAGGAGGGGAGAAAAACTGTAAGACAGATAGGGGGAATGGCCATGGTCTTAGATGTCTCTATATTAATGCAAAGAGCATGTGAAATAAACAGGATGAATTTGAACTCTTAGCACAGCAAAGCAAATATAATAAAATAGACATCACTGATACCTGGTGGGATGAGTCTCATGATTAGAATGTAGTAATAGAGGGGTATAACCTATTTCAGAGAAATAGACCAAACAGGAAGGGAGGGAGATGTGTACACTTGTAAGCTTTAATAAAAATAAAATGATTTTTGTTGTTCTTCAAGTTGTTTTCTGAAGTAAACCTGTTGCAGTATTTTCTCAGCAAGTTTTGTTCAGAGAAGTATTTTCTGGCGTATAAGACTACTTT